TGTCAGTCGCTCTGGGTCGCAACCAGCCCCTGAAGCGGGACAAGCCCCGATGGAAGAGCGACTACCCCATGACAGACGGCCAGCTGCGCAGCAAGCGAGATGAGTTCTGGGACACGGCGCCGGCCTTCGAGGGCCGCAAGGAGATCTGGGACGCACTGCGCGCCGCCGCCAGCGCCTTCGAGAGCAACGACCACGAGCTGGCGCAGGCCATCGTCGACGGGGCCAGCATTACGCTTCCACACGGTATGGCTGGGACAGCGCCGCCAAGGGGCCGGTGTGCGGCACAGCGGCTTATACTGTTCGGCCCGTGACTGGAAGGCTGCCGGTTCAAATCCTGGGATCAGCAGAGTGATTTTATCGTTGACCCCATAACACCCTAATTCTCAAAAAAATTTATATTGCTTTGGATAAAATCAAATGCTAAATAGATGAAATGTAAGTTAATAGAACTTAGTGCCTTAACAAGAAATCCACTTAAAAACCTGACTGCAGGTCAGTGTGACATCTTTTGTTGACACATTTCTTTATGGACTTTTTACAGCCATAGATGTGTAGGAATTGAGTATTTGGGGTGGTGGGGGGGGGGGGGGGGGGGCTGTTATACAGTCATACAGGCATATATGTAGGTAACTTCGTAGTTCACACAATGCTTTGCTTGGTTTTTTCCCACGCTGAGGTCAGTCAGCCAGCTGTAGATGGGTGTGATGAGCACTGATTGCTTTGGGCTAGCTGTACGACGTCAGGATCTCCTTTCATCCTCCGTCCATCCGTCCATTTGTTCATGGCCTTGCCTTCTCCCTTCCTCCTTAACAGCCCCCCCCCCCCCCCCATTTGGGTGTGTTGCAATAGCCAGGCAGTCGCCACGGCATAACGAAAGAATTTATTCCGCAAAGGAGGCAGAGATGAGAGAGAGATCTGGTGGAAATGCAGCTCCAAACTTTGGTCTCACCTCTTCATTCTTCTGTGAAAGTGCGGGCCTTCACAAATTCCTCTACGACGTGCGGGCCTTCACAAATTCCTCTACGATGTGCGGGCCTTCACAAATTCCTCTACGACTTGCGGGCCCTCACAAATTCCTCTACGATTTGCGGGCCTTCACAAATTCCTCTACGACGTGCGGGCCTTCACAAATTCCTCTACGACATGCGGGCCTTCACAGATTCCTCTATGACAGGGTTTCTCAACCCGGTCCTCGGGGACCACCAGACGGTCCATGTTTTTGCTCTCTCCCAATTCCCTGCCAATTGGGAGAGAGCAAAAACGTGG